AAATAAGAGAAAGGAAGAGAGGAAGGAAGAAAGAAAGGGATAGAGGGAGGAAGTAGGGAAGAGAAGGACCCGTTACCTTAACTCAGGTATCATCAGAGACTGGTATTGTTACTACAGTCAGAATGAGCAAGAGTTGATAAGCTAAAGAAATCATGGAACAGAATCTGTTTTCTCCCATTAATAGAGTTCCTTTTTACTACCCCTCTCCAACTGGGGTAAGGATAGATAAAGGTCTTGCTAAAGGGGCAGATTTTCAAAAGAGAACACAGAGCACTATTATTTTAGAATAGAGACTAAAATTAGAATGTGACCCAGAAATTTTTTTAAGAAAAGATAGAAATATATGCTTGTAATACATGGTCCCTAAGAGGCAATATAAGCTCAGATAGAATGGTATATTCGGAATGAACTCCTGGAAGTTAGCACTTTCAGTGAGGAATCCATGAAGGGTTACTGGTTCTTGCAAAAACTGAATCAGTGTAAACGTCGAGGCAGCTGTTGCAATGCCTGTGTGATGTTTGATTGTTCATTTCCTGTCTGAGATGTCTGCCTAGGACATACATAGCGAGTACAATCTGGTCTTTCAACAGGAAGAAAAAGTAAAACTGACCAGCATACAGCCTTTTAAACTGAATGGGTTCTTAAGCATTTTGGATAAATAAATACTCCTAAAGGAAACTAAAAGGCAAATATTTCCAAGGGAAATTATTATCAAAAGGCAAGCACATTAAAGAATGTACTTAGAGGAAACAGATAAGGCAAAAATTGTTTTTTTCTTATTATATATATGAAAAAGATTCATGAAAAAATGGGATTGAAAAATGATGTGAATCTTTCCATCAACTTTTTGAAGTACCCTCATATGAATATCTTTCTAAGGAGGATGTTTCAAAAAGTGGTATATTTTAAGTACCAGTCAGTGCTGGATTCCTGCAGTTATAACCTCTCTCATCATTGCATCAGTCTGGGTCCAGTCGGGGGGTAGAAAACACACAGTGTGAAGTTTGATATAAAAAGTTACTAACCTCTGATAAACAAGTGACTATAAGATATAAGGAAACTCTATATGCTACCCTTAAGGCTGGGAGAAGGTGTCCAAGGAGTGACCAACTTGGAAGAGAGTCCTTCCCCAAGGCTGGGGCTCAGCCCTCACTGGGGAAGTGTAGCTCATCTCACTGAAGAGTAGAGAAGATCACTGGTTTGCCCAAGCCCGAGCTGGTCTGGAGTTGCTGGACAAGCAGAAAGGAACCCTCTGCAGTGCAGGCAGGGAACAGGCCATCAGCAGCCAAAGGCATGGACATGTAGAGTGGGTGGGAGCCTGGGACACAGGTGAGCTGTGCAGGGTGCCTGCAGGGTGCCCATGCAAGCTGGAGGCCTTTGCAGGCAGGGAGGCTTGGGATGTCATTTTCTGCACAGAGAAGGCCTGAGAAGGTTATTGCCAGGCCAGGAGGAGGCTGCAAGTGGAAAGAAGAGAAAACTACAATAAAGCATGGTCAATGGAATTACAAAATATGATGGTAAAAATAAGTTTGGATATATCAGTGATTATATTTGTTAGGTTTGGAGAGATGGAGAAGAGAGACCCAAGCCAGATGCTATTTCAGCCAAAAAGCTTTATTCCACCAGCATGGAGGGGAGACAAAGTCAAATCAGCTCTCCTGAGCAAAGGAAAGAAGGGGTTTTACAAGACATTGAAGGTGGATTCCAAAATAATAATGGGAAATTTTGAAATCAGTGGTATGCAAAGTGACATAGCCTTTGTGGTCTGATAACATCTGGTCAGTTAGGACATAGGCTTCTGGTTTGTGTTGCCACTGTACACATTTATCAATACAAAGCATGCCTCCCAAAGTATTCCTCCCAGCCCAGCCCAAATACCTGCTATCCACAGCCCATGTGCTTCAGCAAGATGTTCCTTTAATGATAACGGTCATGTTTGCCTATTCCCAGGAGAAGAATTTCACTGACCAGTTCCCAGAGCAGAAAGAGGGGAAGGGGAAAGAAAAGATAGTGGAAAGTTGCTTAACATGGCTGTGGTAATGTTAAGTTGGCCGTGAGGCTTAATATTGTATAGAAAAGAGTTAAATTCCCTAATTAAAAGAGAGATCAGGCTAAAATAAAAGTCAAAATATGCACTTACCATGTAATCCAGCAGTTACACTCAATAGGCATTTATCTCAGAGAAAGGAAAACATATGTTTACACAAAACCTGCACATAATTCGTTATTGTTGTTGTTTTGTTGTGTGTTGTTTTGTTTTTTGGCAGCTGGCTAGTATGGGAATCCAAACCCTTGACTTTGGTGTTCTCGGCACAATTATTCATAGTAGATTTATGTGCAAAACTCAAAACCAAAATGTCCCTCAATAGCCGAATGGTCATACAAACTACGGTACATTAATACAATAGAATCCTACTCAACAATAAAAAGGAATGAACTACTGATACATGCAACAATCTGGATGGATATCAAGGACATTATGCTGAGTGAAAAAAGCCAGTCTTAAAACATCACATACTGGGCCAGCCCGGTGGCGCACTGCTACAGTGCGCCGCTTGGGAGCGTGCCGACGCTCCCACCGAGGGTTCGGATCCCACATACAGACCGGCCACTCACTGGCTGAGCGAGGTGCGGGCGCAACACCGAGGGTTGCAATCCCGTTGCCGGTCCTGGTCCGGTACAGGCGCGACACTGAGGGTTGCGATCCGTTGCCGGACACGAAAAAAAGACAAAAAGGAAAAAAAAAAATCACATACTGTATGATTTTATTTATAAAACATTATTGAAATGACAAAATTATAGAGACTGAAAACAGATTAGTGATTGCAGTGATTAGAAATGTTGGGAGGGAAGGGTGGAGTGGCATGGGGGAGATTTTCATGTTGATAAAACAGTTCTATATCTTGATTGTGGTGGTATTTTCACAAATCTACTTATATAATAAAATGACATAGGACTATACACATTATGTCAATGTCAAATTCCTGGTTTTGATATTATACTATAATAATGTAAGTTATAACCATTGGGAAAAATTGGATGAAGAGTATATGGGACCTCTCCAAATTACCTGTATTAGTCCATTTCAGTTGCTTATAATAAAGTACCTGAAACTGGGCAAGTTACAAAGAAGTAAAATTTACTTTTTATAGTTTTGGAGGCTGGAAAGTCCAAAGTCCAGGGAATGCATCTGGTAAGGGCCTTATTGGTGGGCGTTGACTCTTCACAGCAATGCAAGATGTCACATGGTGAGAATGGCTGAGGAAGAAACAGTAATTTCTCACTCGGTCTCCTTTTAAAGCCATGAGAACCATACCCATTATTCCATGAATGGATCCCACCCACAAGGACTTAGTCCAAACAATTTAATCACCTTTTCAAGGCTCCATCTTTCAATTACCATAATAAGATTTCCCACCCTCTTAACATCGTCACAGTCGGGATTAAGTTTTTAATATGTGAAACTTTAGGGGACATATTCAACCCATATCACTATCTTTGAAACTTCCCATAAATCTATAATTATTACAAAATAAAAGGTACAAAAGTCTCTTTCATGCTTTTTTCACGAGACAGAAAACAAAGTGACATAGGTTGACATAAAGAGGTAGAAAAGAAATATCGAACAAATTCTAACAAAGCAGATAAAAAAGAATGCAAGGCAAAAAACATTTAAATGAAAACATTAAATAACAAGAACGATATTTCTTGTTGATATTTGAAGAAATAATGACCAAAAATTTTTCAAATTTTGTGAAACTGCAAGCCAACTGATTCAAGAAGCTTCAATTCATAGTAGGACAACTAGAATTAACAATATTGCATTGTGTATTACAAAATAGCCAGAAGAGAGGTTTATAAATATTCTCATTATAAAGAAATAAATTTTTAAGATGATGGATATACTAATTATCTTGATCTGATCATTATACAACATGTAATGTATTAAAATATCATGTACTGCATAAATATGCATATTAAAAATTTTTTAAAAACTCAATGATCCTCAAGCATAAGAAACATGAAGAAAACTATATAAAGAAAATCATACTCATTTGTTTAAAGCTAGCACTTACATAGCCTGTCATCAACAGCAGTTCTTCTCAAAATGTGATCCACACACCAGTGCCAGTCCATGGATTGCTTGTTACTGGTCCTCAACAAGGTAAGCACAGAAATTGAGAGCAATCATTTGAAACTTTCAAGACAACTTCACATTGCCATGGTGTTCATGCAGACCTTTATTGTATTTTCCAAAGTATTGGTAGGTGACAGTTTGGAAATTAAAAATGTAAGAAAATAACTTTTCTTTCACCACAGTTAGTTTGAGAAGCATTGCACACTAGAGCTATTTGCTGAATATGTATCACTTGTGACCTTCAAAACCAAGTCTTAGAAACTGGGACAGGGTTTGAGCATCCAGGCTTACAAAAAGAGATAAAGTTGGAGTTATGTTTCAGAGCTTAAGTAACAGCCAGATGACAAAACTGAAGGTGTTGAGGGAAGGTCAGGACACATGGGAAAACAGCCTCCTCGGCAGAAAAATGAACTGCACCCCCTTTCTCTACCCCACAGAGCAAATAACCCTTCCCCATTTATTAGAGTTCCTTTTCAAACTAATAAAAATATCTCAGCTACCTATCAGTTTTCTGCATGGTGTCTGTCCACTGACAACATATCTCCTCTTATTTGGAGTTGTCTTGAGATTCCAGATTTTCAGAGAAAAGTCTACTATAGAGCACCTGGAGATATTTTTACACCATGACATTAAAGAACTTAGCTTGTAACCAAGAGATTTCCATTCCCAGGGGTCTCTGGTTACATATGGGGAGAGAAACAGAAATCTCAAGGGATTTCTGAGAAACACCCAGTAGGCAGAGCCTGTGGAAGTATATCACCATCTAATTGCTGCAATCTTTATTGCTTCTTTACATCTACACCCCAAGATAATAATAAACCAAGTAACAGTGAAAACAGATTGATGAAAATAAACATGTTCTCAGTCAAGAACAAAATGAACTTTATACAGCCAGAAGAGCCAGTTAAGAACGGCAGGTACTTTTCCAACTACCTGAGTGGAAGAGAACATTAAAACAGGTGAGTGAGCAAAACTGTGGTTACTCTGCAATTCTCTGTCTCTAATCTTTGCCTGCAGTCAGTGAGGGAAGAGGAAAAACACAGCAAAAGAAATTAAACTGTGTCTCTGCGAAAGTCTTATCTCAAGTAAGAGAAAAAGAAGAAAAGGCGGTAAGTTCAGAAGATGAGTGTGGGAGACGGAAAGTGGTAGTGAGAGCCTCCCTTTCCGACAAGCACAGGCTGGGTTTGACTGTGACATGGCATGAAGATGAAATACTTTCCTAATAGCCAGCCAGCAGGAGAAGCTGGTGCTCCATGCGGGGGCAAGCATGGACGTAGTCACTCGCCCTAACCTCTAGTTGGAGAGAGGGAGAAGGGTGTCAAAAATATGTGCGACAGCTGATGACATTTCTTTGTCTTGTGTCATTGGGTAATAGTGTCAGGGTAGAAAAAGTATAAGTATACCACAGAATTCAGAGTATGGATGAGGTCACTGTGGTCTAGAGTTATTCTGGAAAGTTTTCTGTAGCGACGGGTGCTAAATTGGAGACTGACTAACTATGGAGTTTGGAACTAATCAGGGACAAGCCATCCCAGGTGGGCAGCAAAATGTGTCATAAAAAAGGCAAAAAAGCAGGAGCTTTTATTATTTGTGTCTTTGAATATGTACATACCCTTGCATTGTGTTTTGTATGTATATTTTTAATTTACATAAAGAATGTTTTACATAAAGATTTATAATGCTTATTACTTTCTTCATTTAGCACAGTTTCAAGTTTCAACCCCACATTATCTTATAATTATCTTAAATCCTAAAGGCAAGCTTAATACTCACTACCCAACCTGGGCTATTCAAAATATACTGTTTATTTAAAAACCCTAAATATCTATCCAAAGTACTGAATAAAAAGCTTCTTATTTACTTATTCTTTTAATTTTATTTTATTCTGTCAATATACAATGTGGTTGATTACTGTGGCCCATTACCGAGACCTCCCTCTCTCCTCCGTGTCCCTCTCCCTCCTAACAATGTCCTTTCTGTTTGCTTGTCGTATCAACTTCAAGGAATTGTAGTTGTTATATCTTCTCCCCCCCCCCCGTTTTTTTTTTGTGTGTGTGTGTATGTGTGTGTGTGTGTGTGAATTATTTATATTTAGCTCCCACCAATAAGTGAGAACATGTGGTATTTCTCTTTCTGTGCCTGACTTGTTTCACTTAATATAATTCTCTCAAGGTCCATCCATGTTGTTGCAAATGGCAGTATTTCATTCGTTTTTATAGCTGAGTAGTATTCCATTGTGTAGATATACCACATTTTCCGTATCCACTCATCCGATGATGGACATTTGGGCTG